ATAGAATAGAATAGAATAGAATAGAATAGAATAGAATAGAATAGAATGCTTTATTGGCCAAGTGTGATTGGACACACAAGGAATTTGTCTTGGTGTAAATACTCTCAGTATACATAAAAGAAAAGATACATTTGTTAAGAATCAAGAATCATATCGTACAACACTTAATGATAGTCATAGGGTACAATCAACAATTAAATCATACTAGGAAACAGTCAAGTGGGAGGGGATGGGTGAGAAGGAGTGGTGAGAAGATTAACAGTAATAATAGTATACACTTTGTAAATAGTTGAACAGTGTTGAGGGAATTATTTGTTTAGCAGAGTGATGGCTTAGTACACTTAGGGGTGTACTCACTTTTGTTGCCAGGGGTTTAGACATTAATGGCTGCGTGTTGCTTTATTTTGAGGGAGCAGCACATTTACACTGTTATACAAGCTGTATACTTGCCACTTTACATTGTAGCCAAGTGTCATTTCTTCAGAGTTGTCACATTAAAAGATATACTACTCTGTGTGTGTGTGTGTGTGTGTGCGCGCGTGCACGTACATATACACATATACATACACATTCACACACTTATAGGTATATTTTATTGGAAATTGAAGATGAAGGATATAAGATTAAAAAGGATTTTTCACAAATGTATTCATTCTTTAGTTTGAGAACTTATGATTATTCCAAATGTTCTCAAGATCTTAGTGTGTAGCTTTCAGATCTGCTAAATGGCTAGGATTTTTGTGAGTTAAGCTAAAATATATCTGTAATACTACTTTCTGTCAGCCGGTCTTGCAGCCTTGATCAAATCCCCAATAATGTGGCTCATGCAACCGAAGGAAAAATGGCTCCAGATTCCTGGAAGGCCTTACATCATGGCAAATCCCGGAAGAAGCAGCGAAAGAGAAAGTCCTCCCTTAAATCGCCAAAAAGAGCAGCCTCCCTAATTCAAAAGCCAAGGACTCCGGAGCAGGAGAGCTGTGTACCCATACCTGTGCAGGTAGGGCATATTCTACATTGCCTCAAATCATGCTTGAATATAGCTTTAATGATGGACGCAGTGGAACTTAATCACAGCAGTGCCGATTTTCTTTCTCAGGCATATATGTGATTGTAGTTGAATTAACAATGTACAAATGAGCAACAGCTCAGATATCATTTTTCAGCTTTATGAAATCTGTCCTGTTGCAAAATGTGTTATAAAACAAGGAGATTCTGAACAATTTTGGAGGGGAAATTTTTAAAGTTACAATCCACATTAGATGACATATATGATAAAAATAGAAAAGAGGACAGAGATCACTAATGATAGCTTAGCAGTGTGATCTTAGACCACTTTTTTGTAATTTATCATGTCTGAAACATTTAGGACTTTAACTTCCATAAATCCCAAACAATACTGAAATTGAGATCCAGCACACTAGAGTGGATAAATACATAAATTTTTTTATTTATGATACTTTTATCCCACTCTTCTATTTCAAAAGCACTCAAATCTTTTCCCTAATTCAATAAGTTATTAAATACAGAAATTTGCTTGTCATGAAGCATATTGTGTACCCATTACTACATCTGATAAGCAACTACCTTGCCTCTTAAGTTCTGAAGATAATTCCAAAACTTGTCCAATAAGCAAATATGTTTGGCTATCACATGATGACAGCAACTTAGCAAATTAGGCCCAAATCAGCAATTTTCCACCATCCTTCTTTTCCTCAGATTTAGAAAAGTTTCAAAGATGTCTCTTGGTTACTTTTTGATAGTGATACAGAATTGACGAAACCTAATGCAGGAAGGGTGCCTTACAAAAAACTGTTCTAGTGTTGGTCAAACAGAGCTTATACTTATAAAAGCCAGGTAGAAATTGTGGAACTCTCTGTAATAATAATATTCAAAAATAGAGTGGATTACATATTCATAATTCTAAATACAGGTAGTCCTTGACATGGGACTGGAATTTCCATTGTATATTGTTGCAGTCATAAATTGACTCAGATGTGAGTTTATTATCATTTTTACAGTAGTCATTAAGTGAATCACATGGTCATTAAGTTACTCCAGCTTTCCCCAGTGGGTATTTTTGCTAGAAATCGATAAAAATACTAACAATCATGTCACTGCAGAACACTGCAAGTGGTGGTAAAGTGGTAAAGTGCCAAGAACTGTGATCAGTTGATACAACTGTCATAAGTGAAAATACACGTTATAAGTTACTTTTTTCCAAACTCATTGTAACATCAAACTATTATTAAAGGAATAATTATGAGTCCAGGATTATGTATAGGTTATTGGCTCAAATTTATTTATAGATAAATTTCATGTAAAATCATTCCTCTGAAATGATAGAAATTCATGTCCATGGTTCCCAGTTTTTAGTTACTTTGCTTTTAACTAATTGGAATCTGACAATGAGAAAATAGCTTTCCTAATTATTGGTGGGGTTTAGAGTGCAATCCTATTGGTTAGCTGGGTAGCTAACTAGTTCATTTTTCTTCCAGGAAGATGACTCTCATTTGGGCACCCTCTTCAAAATCACTTCATGGCATTCAGAACTATGTAAGAATTTTGGTTCTGATTTCAGTTCCTTTGAGAAACCAAGTCAAGTTTTATCTACTAGCAAGTTGCACATGATAAAGAGCCAAGCAAAGCTAGAATTACACAAGTTGATCAGCCCTGCTCAGTGCTTGAGTCATGTTTGGAAATCCTATACACAGGACAATTTGGGCTCTCAGTTGGAGATTGTGCATCCCTGTCCTTCAAACAAATTTCCTCCTTATTTGTATGGCCGGAGATATTTGCTTCCTGCTTTGAAACCTGGCCCTCTGAAGACTTATCTTTTTGATGATCTTTCAAATGTGCATGATGAATGTTACCTTTCAGACTTGAATCTGACACATAGCTTTTCCAAATGTCATCAGTCTGCAAAAAACACTTCAGATACTTTTTCTATGGATGAATTTCTAGTAGATGCATTGAAGGGAAATGTTATTCTTGGAGAACCAAAAAACCTAGCTTGTTTGGCCAAGACTTGGAAAGATGGATCATGTTCAAAAGTGTGCCTACAGGAAATTAATGAAAATGAAGGCGTGTTGCTTACAGAGGTGAGCTTTTGAAAACTGCTAACAGGATACCAACTGCATGCTTTTTGATAGGTCCTGCTGTATTATGCAAAGGAAAGATAGAGATCATCACCCGGAACCATATTCCTATCAACAGCTTGGTCAAAGACAAAACATTAAAGCATTAACATGACAGAGGACATTTGAATTAAAATATTTGAACCTGCATGGGGCAGGGGAAATTGTATCTTTCTATATTTCCTTAAATGGGGAAACTACTAAAAATCTGCCCCAGAAAGTAGATGAGACTGCAGTTTTCCTCTCCAATAGGCTAGTTTTCTAAAGAAAATTAGCTTTTAACAAACAATGGGCACAGATTCAATTCTCTATTCTTAAGCCTTGTGCTGGTATAAACCAAGGAATGACTATTGTGATCTTAGAGTGAAAGTACATTTAATGAGTTATTTTCAATGAAAGAATTCATAAGGGAAGAAGTTTTGAAATAGAAACGTTTTATCCATCCCATCCTCCTTTTTCATGTTTGAATATTACCAGAAGAAATTGCTGAGTTCACTTTATGACAAACCTTAATTAATGTGTTTGGTTTTCATTTACCATAGTATGATGTGTGAACAAAGTTGCAGTTCTTTATAAACTCATAGTTTATCATTTAGCATATATAAATCCATACTATTGTGGCTTACTCAGTAGATGCAGACAGATAACAGATAATCAAAGTTGGAAGGGACCTTATAGGTCATCCAGTCCAACCCCCTGCCCAAGTGGGAGAACTTACACCATTTCTGACAAATGGCAGTCCAATCTCCAAGAAGAGATGGTCTCAAGTGATGGTGCTCCCACAACTTTTGAGGGCAAGCTGTTCCATTGGTTGATTGTTCTCACTGTCAGAAAGTTTCTCCTTATTTCCAGGTTAAATGTCTCCTTGTTCAGTTTCCATCCATTATTCCTTGTCTGGCCTACAGATGCTTTCGAAAATAGCTTGATCCCTTCCCCCCTGTGGCAGCCCTTCAAATATTGGAAGACTGCTATCATGTCTCCCCTGGTCCTTCTCTTTACTAGACTAGCCAAGCCCAGTTCCTGTAACCGTTCTTCATACGTTTTAGCCTCCAGTCCCCTAATCATCCTGGTTGCTCTTCTCTGTACTTTTTCTAGAGTCTGAACTTCTTTTTTATAATGTGGTGACCAAAACTGGACGCAGCACTCTAGGTGTGGTCTTACTAAGGCTTTACAGAGTGGTATTAGTACTTTCCTTGATCTTGATTGTATCCCTCTGTTAATACAATTTATGATTGCACACTGCTGGCTCATATTTAGCTGGTTGTTCACTAGGACTCCAAGATCCCTCTCACAGTTACTGCTATTGAGGCCTGGTTTCACCCAGTCTATATGTGTACTTTCACTCAGTCTATATGTGTACAGTCATTGGTGATTCACACAACATGCCATAATAACTTCATTTGATTTTTGTTATTGAATTGCAGATGCTGTTTTTAAGATTTATGTGAGAACTAGAGCATTTTTATTCAACAAACTATGGCTTAATATTTGACTCCCAATAATAAAGCTGGACATTTGGGTAGATAGACAGGTTCTAGATTCTGGACAGGCAGGAAGAAGTATATCATAATATAGCATTTGTTATTTTTTTCATGAAATTTATTGCCAACAGAAAAGGAAATGATCACTAGTTTCAGTAATGTTGGAAAGCATTACATAAATTCATTACTACAGAAGCTATCCAACTTTCTCACTGCAGATTCTGGGCATTTAAACTAGAATAGTTATTATGTGAGTTGCAGTTAGAGAGAAAGAGAGCACATACTGAATTGGGGAGGGCTAGTCTTCCAAAAAAAATTAAACAAAAGGAATTCTGTTCAAAGTAAATTTCTAGGACTCAAGGATAGAGAAGAATCAATAAATGTGAACTAATGGTAGGATAATTTGGCTTTAAAAGGCAAGCGCTGAAATGTTTTCTTTCTCCTGTTCTTGACAATAATTTTGGCACAGTCAATTCATTCATCCTCTTTTCAAGGGCTCTTTTCCTTTTTTGTTTCCTGGTTGCTAATCTGCAGAAACTCAAAGCAGTCGATTATGAGTACCGAGAAGAGGTTCACTGGACTAAATCTCAAGGTTTGCTTGGCACGGGCTCTTTTGGAGAAGTGTATAAAATGGAGGACAAGCAGACGGGCTTTCAGTGTGCAGCCAAAAAGGTATAGTGGTACATTATGCAAATCTGTTGCCTCCAAGGGAGGGAAAGCAGCACCAAAAAGAGGAAATGAAAGTTGCTTCCCTTTTCAGTGGAACTGCTAAAGGCTGGAGCAGTCACAGCAGTGATGCTTTGCTGAAACTTGTTTGTCGTATCCTCAAGGTCAAGCCAGAAGTCGTCGCCATGGTGACACCAAACAGTGGAATCTCCAGCTGGCTGTGGGTGTAATGGGCTGCCAGGGAAGGATCACTCTTGTATAGCAGCCAAATTAGTGTCCTGCGGAGGCGATCTTAGCTGCTTTCTTGCATGGCAGAAATCATTTGTAGAATTTATAACAGATCAGATATTAATAATAGTATAAGTTTCTTTAATCTGATCACTGAATCCTGGCAATTTGTCTTGCTTACTTCCTTTACAATATAGATGTAGTCATGGGTTACTCATCCAATGAAATGGGCTCCAGCCACAGCTGCTCATGATGTAATTAAAGTATTAGTCTTAAAAATACCACCAATCTCTATATTTTAGTATGAAGTATGGTGTAAGAGCCTAAGTCACAACTTCTTTGCAGTTTTATTAGACAGCTGTAGCTTTAAACTACTAGCTAGAGGTGATTTGTAGGTATCTACTACTTTTTGTGACACAGTGTCCTTTGGTGGAATCTTCAGCAGCTATCTAGACTTCCCCTTTTAATGCATCATGCATTTTAGATTCTTATGTTTAATGCTGGCATTATGTTTAAGACACAGGGGGGAGCTAAATTAACAAGTTGGGAAGCTCAGATGCCTGAAATTTTATCTGAAGTGTCTGTGTGCAAAAATCCTGAGGCTTGTTATTTGTAATTCCTTTTTTTCCTCTATGCTCTGAATTTCCATTCTTTGTTTCATTCTCTGATCCAACAATTACCAGCAACTAGCATGTTAATGACTAGTATTTTCCTTCTCTTTAGCAGTTATTCTCTTTTATAGACTTTTTGTTTTACCAGACTATATATAAAATCAGCTCTCATTTTAGCTTTTCTATTGTCTGTAACTAGGGACAGACTGTATTTTAATGTCTGGGTTGAAAAAAAACAAGCTGGAAAAAGAATATTTAGCTTTATTCATACAAAAACTACTAGGATACATTTAGCTTATTTTTTAATTGAAATCACAACGTGTCTTCAGCTTGTTTCAATGAGAACATATACTATATCAAAGTACAATATTGGTTTGTTCTTGCTTGTTTGTCTTATCTGTTCAGCAGGCCACAGATATGTGAGGTCAAAGCAATTAAAAATAAACACTTTTCAATTTAAACTGCTCTTGTTTGCTCTCTTCCCCCACCCCAATCCCTTGCTCCTTATTTTTTTTGGCACTAGTCATATTTTTATATCAATTTCTTTATCAAGACCTCTGCTTTTATCAAGGCCTCTGTGTTTTTTGTTATGCTCCTTTCTGCAACTTCAATGTTGAAAATGCAGCCTCAGTGGGATGAAATGTCAAGTGTCCGGCTAACGTGCCCAAAACAAGTAAACACTCTTGGAGGTTTGAATTTCCAAAAGTGAAACTTTATTGGGTACATCATTTTGGTACTGAAGAATCAAAACCAGCTCTGTTTTTTTCACACAAATGCTTGCCTAGTTAAACAATATCTTCCCTTTCTCCCCACCACTGGGTGATCACATTGTCCAATTATGAGATGGCTTTTTGTTATGGGAACAGTCCACCTTCTCAAGCACCTGCAGTCATGACTTTGATGGTTTCCAAGTTTTCACGGTCTGTGTGCAAATTCTTAACACTCCATCCCACCCTTGGCAAGTTGAATAAAGATAAGATTCAAAAAGAGCAAAGGGGTTCAATCTTGACACCAATAAAATATATCTTGTTGACTCAGATGATGGATAAGATTGCCCCTTTTCCTAGTCTATCAGTTTGGTTTCAGTACTAGTGGTGGCACAGCATTCTCTACTGCAAATCAGGACAGTAAATTAGCTTGGGACGAACATATTATAAGAGACTGATAACTATCCTCAGTTATTTTACTACTGTAGTTTATTTGCTATTTCTAATTGCTACTTACTGTTTGTTTGATAAAATGCTATGAATTCGGGTATTATGTGCTATACGAGCTGAGCAATACATGTACTAAACTTGATAAAGTACATGGGCTGGTTGTTTCTTTGTTTTTTCATTTGGATTGGGGCTTTTCTCAACAGTACTGTCAAGCACTGGGAATAAGCAGATGGGAAGAGCATCTAAGTAGTGCAACTAGCAATATTTAAGTACTGTTACAACACTAGTTCTAGAGGATGGGAATACCCAGAGGGAAATGGTTGGCATTGTAGTACTCACTTCTAAGTACACTGCTTTTCTCTACAACTAAGTGGAAGGGAAAAAAATCAGCAAAGGGTTAGTCTAGGAAGAGAAGTAAGCTTGTTTAGTTTGTGTTAACAGTTGTGGAAGATAACAGAGAAGATTCATGATTCTTGTTTGTGCAAACGATTTGTGTGGAATGTTATCTGATAACATGGGGAAGTAAAGTTTTATTATTGCTTTATTATTGCTAAAATATTTACTAAAATATTTGAGATATTCAGATTCTAGAAGAGATAGACGGAAATTAAGTGAGAAATTTGATAGACAAACCATGAGTGCTTTGCCACACTAAACAATAGCAAAAAGAAAATTTGCTTTAACAATGTGTATGAACCAAGCTCCTGTTTCAATAATTAACTTATCCCACTGGGTTTTGTAGATACTTATGACTCAGGAATCTCAATGAGTTTGTGAAATTCAATTTCTTCCTCAACTTCCCATTTTCCAAAGTCTTTTTCTCTCTCAATAGATTACAGTTCTTTTTCTCAGTTACTTTAGAATTATCATGCACCTGAATGTTTTCTTGGTTCATTGCTTACTCGTCTTGTTTTTTAATCCATTTTTAGCTTTTAGCTTCATTTGTTACCATAATTTTCTTTATAAAATTTTGTTAGGATCTGTCTCTTCCATTTCAATTTTTTCTGACTCTCATTCTCATCTCTTTTTCATTTAAGCAGCTGAGAATAATGATCGTTTTTAATTAAGGTTGGTATAGGCTATCAAGCATTCTGTTTGCCTCTCAATTTCCTTATAGATAATAAATCTAAATACCCCAACATGCTCATCTTCTTCTTTCTCACATGTGCCCTGAACTTCTCTTGCCCTTTCCCCATTCAACTCACAGTTAATTCATTTGAAGAAACAAGATACTGGACTAGGTAGTCTTGGTTTATTCTAATTGTATATGAAAGCCATTATTTTTCTATTTAAAGCCGATATTGTTTAAACCTTTCTACCTCATACTTCTCTTTCTAGATACAAGTTGAACACTTTCGTGCAGAAGAGTTGTCAACATGTGTTGGACTGACACATGCCAAAGTCCTCCCTCTATATGGAGCAGTGAAAGAAGGCCAGTGGGTTACTATCTTCATGAAAATGATGGAAGGTAGGTGATCAAGAACAGAGAAAAGATATTAGCAATATCGTGAACAATAGGAATCGCAGATTATTACAGGGGCAAAAATAAATTGAGTGACGAGGAGTGAAGCAGAATTATAATTTAGTCAATTTAAATTTTTTTGGGGGGCGGGATTGCTTCTGCAACATCTAAACATTAAATGTTGCCTGATGTGGTCATGGGATATGGAACTGAAACTTGATGGAATACTTTTCTTAAAACCCTATTTCTGACCCTCCACTTCCTCCAATCTTAGACTTGCTTCCTTTTTTTCTTTTTCTTTTTTAATATTATTTGAACCTTACTTGTTCATCATGTTAAGATATAATGAAATTTTAATACTCTGGGTTTAATGGTCCTATGAATATCAAATGCTATAAAATTTTTAGCAGAGAAGCAGGATTTCTTTCCTGACCTGATCTTGCCTAGTTTTCTCTAGCTGTCAATTTATACTTTATTTCATTTTATTTCCTAAAAACCAAGGATCACAACTGTTTCCCAACTTTACTGTTAATTTCTCTTTTAATTTGTGATAAGTATTTTCTATTTTTAGTAGAGGATAACTAAATATTTGTGAGAACCTGTTGGTCCAGTGGTTGAACTCATAACGGGAGACTGTGAATTCTAATTTTGCCTTTGACTCTAAGCCGGCTGGCTTTCTCCCAGCTCCAGAAGGAAGTCAATGACAAACCACTTCTGAAAACCTTGCCAAGAAAACTGCAGGGACTTGTTCAGGTAGTCTCTGAGAATCAAACATGATTGAACAGAAGAAGAAAAACCTCCTGAATATTTACTTCTTCCTTTTAGAGTCTTCCTTGCTTCCCCATAGCCATCTGCTTAGCCATTGTAAATATATATATATTAGATTACATACGGAAAAACTCTAAAGCTAGTGTATCTAAATTGCAGTTCATGAGCCCCATTTGGCCCCACACTTTGTTGGTACTATATCTTATTTGTACACTGTTGTCCTTTAGGATCCACAATTGCAGGCTTCTTGACCATGAAGCCACATGATATTTTTTCTGTAGATTGAAGAAGCTAATGCACTTCTTGGCTATTGGCTAATAACAGGAATAATTATCTCAGAGTGATGGGAATTTTTCCTTCTAGGTGGTTCACTGGGCCAGCTAGTTAAGCAGTGTGGGTACCTACCTGAGGACAGAGCTCTTGATTATCTCAGCCAAACACTGGAAGCCTTGGAATATCTTCACGCCCACAGCATTCTCCATGGAGATGTAAAAGGTAAGATCAGCATTAAACAGCCAATTCCAAGTAGCAGAGAATTTGCTCAAAATGACATTAATTGCTGCAGTTTCAGAAAATAGGAGGAGATGTGAGTTAGTCAACTTCTCTTTGACTTCAATAGAAGATTATGTAAATGTTCTGGCAGCCTCCTTTCACATAGAAAACTAAGTATGAGGGAGAGGGTCTCTTCTGCCTGAGATGTTAATTTATCTCATATTATAATTTCTATGGAGGAACATTTAATCATGTAAATATGCACTTCTGGTGCCCGGTAATAGTCAAAATGTCAGGGGAGCACCTAAGGAGAAGAACTAGGTGGTCTTGTGACAATATTCTATATAGATATCGATGGCCTAAAAACCTTGCAATTTTTCTTTTGGCAGCTGACAATGTCCTTTTATCTGATGACAGAAGCCATGTTGCTCTCTGTGATTTTGGTCATGCAGTTCAACTTCATCCAGATGGCATAAAGAACTATATAATGACAGGTAACCTATGGCAGGTTCTGAAGAGACTGTTGATGTACAAGCATTGGACTGCTTTTTCCTTTATGTTCAAAATATGCAACTCAGTCCTTAAAATAAATAACTAAGAGGTGTCTGTCTCACTATCTTCTAGCATCAGATATGAAGATTTATCTTTAACCCTAACTCAATATTTTAGGCATAATTTTAGGGCATTATCTATTTTTTAAAATGTTATATGATAACATATGCCAACTATCTTCTGCCCATTATCTGTACCCAACAACGGTATATATTATGCAGATTGAGCTACTATGGGTTTTTTACCAAAAAAGAAAATTGCCTCAAAATGGAGAAAAAAATAAAATTATGTCAAAAAGTCCTAGGTAATATAAACTTATTTATAAGTTTCCTAGGAGATAAAATCCTCTTTGCTTTGATAGTGCTCATGCCTTGGGAACGAAGGCTAAGTTTATTGAGGAAGGAAAAGCAAAAAGGATTTTATCTTGAAAGACCTGGAATTCTTCCCCCACCCCCCAAAAAGTTTAGCAACATATGCTAATACCCTGGGAAGGAAGATTAAGGCTAACAAGGAAAGGAAAGTCAAGAGCTTCACCAGCATCTCACAAAAATCCTGATGCTTGTGGAATTATGCCACATGACCCAGCAATGGATGAGCTGTCATCCTTCCCTAGCTCAACCTCTTGAACTCTGGAGATCTTGAGAAGATAAATGAGCAATCAGTGACAGGGGGGTGGGGTGGGGAGGAGATCCAAGGAACTTTGGGGATCCTGAAAGATGGGAAGTGCAGCGTGGAGGTGGGTGAGGTCTTAAGAGAATGGAGAGAAGTCGGCTTGTGCCTGCACTAGGCCCTCAGGATTTTTCCCATTCCTGAGGCACCCCTTATTCCACTTAACAACCAACATTTAACAAATGAGTTGGGTCTCCCAGGGATGGAGACTTATTAACTGAGATGGTTCATTTAACGCTCTCCCAACCTTCTGCTATAATGACAGGCTCCATTCTGCCGAGAATTATCTGTATATTTTTTTTAGTAGAAGAATTGCAGAAAGTATTAGCTTTTGATATTTACCAGTACAGTGGTTTACTATTTAAGGCACTAAGCTAGAAACCAGGAGCCTGGAAATTCCAGACCCAGCTTAGACATAAAAGCCAGTTGGGTGACTTTAATCCAGTTACTCTCAGTCCACAATATAAGTATTATGTTTTTTGTGGTGAAACTATTTATCTGTAAGTTAATGTCTGTTGTAAGTACAATATATTTTATATCTCTCCTGTACTTATCACCATATATTTTTTGCTCTTCCATTGTTTGAAGCTATTATACATTGCAATCACATTGTAAGATAGTTCTAGAGATTACAGTATAACTTTCCCGAGAGAAATTTGTAACAGATTTGTTCAAGTTACAAATGCACTATTTCAAGTTTGGAAGAGGCTGTTCCAACTGTTCCAGAATTGTTTTGAGAATGAAGTGGCTGATTGTTCGGCTCTAAAATACCTCTTTCAGACTTGAAACTTTGTGAATTCAAAACATTTTGGGTACCCCCATTTCCCAAGTGATAGTTCTCTCCAGAGTGTTTCCAACCAGCATGAATGTGAACTCAAAATTTCTGAATCCTTGCCTTGCCTCTCAATTGTAATACTCCAATACCAATCTTTGTGTGTGTGTGTGTGTGTGTGTGTGTGTGTGTGTGGCATCTGCTCTTCTACAGTGAAGGGCTGTTGGTCAAGTCTTTATTAGTTTAAGAATGTCTCAGTGTGGCAGCTTGTGTGGAACAGGGCCCAGCAGGACCCTAAAGAACCAGTTTCCTCTATTCCACTTTTAGGGGATTATATCCCGGGCACTGAGACCCACTTGGCTCCTGAAATCATAATGGGAAAGCACTGTGATTTCAAGATAGACATCTGGAGTAGTTGCTGTATGATGCTGCACCTACTGAATGGGTACCATCCTTGGATTAAGTACTATAATCATCCTCTGTGCCTCAAAGTAAGTCACCCATTAGTAAATGGGTAAATTGTTGGTTCATTTATCTGAAAGACAAAATAGATAATTGTGGCATGAAATACTTAGTGTTCTCAACCAATCTAAGAAATGTATATTTTGTTAGTAAATATGTATTTTTGTTGGGTAGCTTAAAACCCAAAAAGTTTACAATTCAACACAATGCACTTATTTTAGATTAACTGTTGCTCTCAAGAAGTTATAGATCCCACCTCAGGATTACTTCAGTTTTTCAGATCTCTAGAATTTGCAGTTTATACCGAAATATGCAATCTGAGTTCTGACTAGTTGTTTGATGATAAAAGCCATTTGCTCGTACCTTTTAGCAAAATAAATCAGCAATATCTGTTAAGTGGTAAGATCCTTATCATAGCGATAAGTTCAAAATGAACAACAGTCTATAACAGTCTCCCCTCTGTTAAAATCCCCCCCCCACACACACACTTATTTTCAGGAGGATAGATTTCGTGTCTGAGCATTCTCACATGACGGTGGGTCTTCCCGCCCCATAAAAACAGTTAAAAAAGAAAAAACAATATATCCTCATGCAAGAACTTTTCTGCTTCCGATTACCCCCATGCTTACAAGTTGCAAAGGAAACACGGAAGCAGGGAAGCGGCTGCCCAGCTCCGGAGCTCCACACCATTTTTTTTCAGAGGGAATCTCACTCGAGTATAAGCCGAGGGTTTTTTTTTCAGCACAAAAAATGTGCTGAAAAACTCAGCTTATGCTCGAGTCAATAAGTTTTCCCAGTTTTTTGTGGCAAAATTAGGTGCTTCGGCTTATATTCTGGTCGACTTATACTCGAGTATATACGGTAAATATCTTCACTAATTTATAAATATCTCAAAATTGTTTCAGCTGTTATATTACATATATACATATTATATTTGAGAATAGGTGGATGGGGCAGGTTGTTCATGGATTGTACCAGCCCTGCCGAGTGACAAACTATCATGCTATGTTAGTTACTTAGTTTTGTAGCATGGTAGTTTAATACTATTTTACTGTGGTGTATTGAATGTTCTCATTTGTTCCATGACACATTTTTGTAATTTTTAAATAGGACTTTTTTCTTTCCTTCTATTTTTGTCTAGTTACCTCTTCCCTTCCCACACCTCCATCTGCTTCTCTTCTTGTTTTCTATTTTTCCTTTCATTTTTGTATTTATTTTTTATATTTTTTGTATATAGTTCTCTATAGGAGCTTGTGAGAGAAAATGGTACATGGGATGCCTTATTCTAAGGGAAACATTTTAGATTCAGGGTCATTTTTCTCTTAAATAAGGTATTTGTTAGAAAATGAGTATGTGCCAATTTAAGTCTACACAGAACCTGCAAGAAAGGATGGGTGATGATGACATTTAGAGTGTAATTCTGAAGTTGAATTTTAATTAAAACAATGAGATCTTTTGTAAATCAGTTTGCATATATAATGGAAGATAAAGCAAAACATGAAGTAAGCTTATTAAGTTCTGAAACATAACACAGTATTCAATGCATATAGAAACGATCATTCAGAAGCTGTATGATGAAGAAAATGCAAAGCAAGATGGTTTTCTTTGAATCTTTAGTATAGAGTAGCTTCAGGAATTAGCCCCTATACAAAGACCTCTATTTGAGAAGTTTAGTGTGGATGCTAGATGCAAGTTGTATCTACTGCTTATATACATTTTGGTGCATAAAACACTATTTAGGTTACAGTTGGCTATTCTAAATGCAAAAGAACTTTATTTTAATGATTATGGAACTGGAAGCTAAAACATGAAGTAGGGTTACAGGAATTAGATATGTCTAGTTTAGTGAAAAGGAGTACTAGGGGACACGTAGCACTGTTCCAATATTTGAGGGGCTCCTACAAAGGCAAGGGGGGCTCAAACTGTTTTCCAAAGCACCAAAAGGTCAGACAAGAAACAAGGATGGAAACTAATCAAGGAGATAAGCAACCTAGAATTAAGGAGAAATTTCCTAATGCTGAGAGCAATCAATTAATGGAACAACTTGCTTTCAGATGCTCCATCACTGGAATCTTTCAAAAAGAGACTGTACAATTATTTATCTAAAATGGTATAGGGTCTCCTGCTCAAGCAAAAAGTTGGACTAGAAAGACTTCCGAGGTCCCTTCCAACTCTATTCTATGTTCTAAACAATTGAAATGTAGTGTAAAACCTTTAAACTTTTCAAAGAATATAATTATTCTGTTTTTTCTCTGGGGCCTAAAAGAATTCTGATTTTTGTTAGTTAGTTCAGTCTGGTGAAATATAGTAGCTTGGAGTTAAGAGCTGGGCAAATGTCCAGTGAGGAAACAAAATTTCTGTCCATCTCGGACATCAAATTATATTTGGGTAGCACTGGCCCTATTTGCAAGCCTCTCAATATTTTGTCCTTTTGAGTATTGCCTTTAAAGGCAACTTGTCAGTTTACAGCATGTGCTTGGTAGAATTTCTGTGCGCATTAATATTTTTTGTACTAGAATATTGAGGGGTTTTGCCTGTATTGCAGTTGTCTGTCACATATTATCTATGCCTTGTTTTCAAAAAAGTGAGAAATTGATTTCTATTTCATATATATACAGTAGTAGTTGTCATTGTATGTTAAATAGTTGCTATGTGTAGGCCTGTAGCTTTCCGATTGCTTTTGATCAGTATCCATTTTCCTGCATCTCTCCATTGCAGATAGCCAAAGAACTACCCCCACTGAGAGAAATTCCTCCCTCCTGTCACCCATCCACTGTTCAGGTCATTACTTCTGGCCTTGAGAAAGAGCCTAAAAAACGAGCTTCTGCAGCAGAGCTAAGGAAGAAAACCTGCACAGCACTCAAGCAAAGTGAGATTGCTTTGTCTGTCTGAACGTGCACCTGTCTCACAATTTCTTCCGTTCTTGCATTTGTCCACACAGTCTCCTGACAAAACTTTGCTCTTTTATTTGTTCCTGACATTTCTCTTTATGTTACTTCCATGAATTATTTTCACATTTGATTGTGCAAGAGAAAACATGGAAGTCGGGGTTTTTTTTTAGTTACTTGTGTGGTATAAATTGGAAAAAAAGTAAAAGTACACAGCATGCCCCAGGACAGGCATTGCCTGTAAATGAATTTGACTACCTTCACTAGTGTTATGCATGAAAACCAGGTTCACATGTGGAGGTTCAATTTTACTGATTTATTGCTAAAAGCTTATCTACAGGAATCTTCTCAACTAACAATCAGCACCAGGTTAGAACTAGATAAGATTCAAAGAGGGTTGGACTTAGCTTATTTATAACTACATAATGACTCTAAACTAAGCCTTTGTTTTACCTCTGGCTCTGGCTCTGCCAATCCTTCTGGTCACATACACTGGTCACATACTTCTCCAGACAGTTCAGATATTCTTTTCATTCTTTTAGTAGGTCACCATTTTGGTTAGATATCTTAAAAAGAAATGGGCAGAATCTTTTTTGTTCTCTCTGGTCTCGTATCCATGAGTGCAAAATTCTGAAGTTGCATATTAGTGAAAGGATGATGTATTACTGAGTACTGCTAAAAACAGTCCTTCTATGTGGCTGGTTAATAAAGCAGATCAAGATAAAGTCTCCTTCAAGCTGACAGATGAGAACCATTATAGTTGAGAAACTCCTGTACTGTAAGCATGGGACTGGTTATCAGCAGGCTTCTAGCTACAAATCAAAGACCTGCATTTGCCCTGATAAAAGCACTTAATGATTTAGCACATGGTAGCTGGTCTACACCTGTGGAACAACCTTCCCAATTGTTCCTATTGGCAACAACTTTGGTAGTATTTTAGAAAGCAGTATGCTTTTATTGTTGTAGGCTCCAGGAGTCTTTCTGAGCTTTGTGATACATGACTGAAATGAATAGACAAACTCACTTGTGATTTCTGATATGCTATGTCTTTTGACAATAAGACAGAAGTGACGTACTATTTACGGCCTTCTGGTTTTGTTTTGTTTGAAAATATAATAAAACATTATTCTGCTATAGAAACTGAAAACTATGTCAGAGTAGTCATCATTGTATAAATATATGTGTTTTAGAATGTATATGTTCCCTCTTCATAATGGATTGCTACAGGAAACTTAGAAGAACTAAGAATATCTAGATATACCATCTGAAACTTTGGAAGCATCTTACCTTGTGTTAAATGCATGCTGGTGGTTGAACAGGGATCTCAGTGCTCCCGAGGTGTTTTTATCCTAGATTTTCCTGTGTGTGCTTTTGGTTTGTAGTGGGAGGACTGAAGAGTTCCTGGAATGGTGAATACAGAGAACCTAGACGCTTGCAGCCCACAGAGAAAGCTATTCTCACAGAACTATTGTTATCCATACCTAAACTGGTGGATAGCCAAAAGGTGTTGACCAGAAGCCCTAGACCTCCATTGCCATGTGAGGATCTGACTGAGAGAACGCAGTTAACTCACCCAGACACGTGCAAGGAATTACGGACACCATCTGACTCCCTTCTACCCTCCTTTCTGGCTCCAGCGAGTACTAGGAAATACAACCTGACAGAATGGAGGACGCCCAGCATTGACCACGACCTTCAGCAGATGGAGTTTGGTAATCACGGATCAGGATTGATTGATTGAGTTATTCCTTCATGCCTTTCCCTTTATTGTTTTTATATAAATAACTCAAGGCAGCAAATATATCCAATATTTCTTCCTCCTCCTATTTCCCCCAAAATAGGAGAAGGAAAGAAAGAGAGACACAGTGACCAGCCGAAGCCAGCTTTCATGGCTAAACAGGGACTAGAACTCACAACCTCCTACTTTCTAGCCTGATGCTTTAATCAGCAGACCAAACTGGCTCTCTTGTTATTTAAAGCTGCTTCTTTGCTTGCCATCTAGTTACCTGACCTCTTTCCCCGCCCCCCCTCCAAGCTTTTTGTACAGCTGTCCACATCATAGAAGATTTTTCTGAATGGTATTCTATACAGTAAATAGCATTTCTACGTGCTTGTTATTAAGTTAATTGAAGAAGTCAGTCATGTAATACTTGTGAGTTTAAAAGAAGGAAAGGGTAATGATGGTAGCAGAATTTAAAAAAAAACTGCCAAAAGCCAGGCATCCATGAAGGAAATGGAGCATGTTGGAGTGTGAAAGTAGCAAGGGCCTTCTGATGGTATGCATTTTTATTTTTTATATATTTTATATTTTTATATTTTATTAAAACATGTCTTTTATTGTCAAGTTTCAATGTGGCCCCTTTCATAAATAGTTGAAAGGAGCTGTGCTCATGCTTGCATGAATTCCAAATCCCTTCTTCCAAATCATTTTGAAGCAGGTAAAGTTCTTAGTTATCACACAGCATCTGTAACCATTTGTTCTAGCAGGATTTAGAAGAACCAGATTTTACTCCAGGATATGCCAGTGGGCAACGTGCTATATCCATTGTTCAATTTTTTTCAGAGTTACAAATATTCCGTTTACAAATAAACTAAATAAAAAAAATTAAAAATCCTTTATTGGCAGATTATTTTGGAAACACAAAAGACAAAATAAATAGTTAGGCTTTAACTGGGTTGAACTTTTGAAGAAAGAAAGCTATGTTTTAGAGAAGGAAATATTGAAATAGTAAGAATGAAAAATACATGCCAATGTTTTAAAAACCAAATATAATAGCTGGCAAGCATGAATTAGTATAAGTACAATACACATTTAGAAAAAGAGCAGATCCATTTAATGTATCACTGGAAGCAAATCAAAACTATAATCATTATATCTTGAAACGTTAATGATGAGATGACGGAGTTCTTGTCTGTTTTAATAATGAATCCAGAAATTATCATCAGTTTAGGGTAATCCTGGATGCCGGCAGTGGACAGACAGTCTTCAGTGTCTTCATTTTAATCCAATTCTTTCCATAGATCTGATTCTGAACAGCCTCTCTCAACCCTTTTCACTGGAAGAACAGGAACAAATGTTGTCTTGCTTCAGCTTGGATAGCTTCCTCGCATCAGATGCTAGTGAAAAGGTAACGTACCTGAGGATGGACAGTTGCTGTTTTGGAATTGTAACTGATTGTCCAGAATATTCCAAGAAGGATTGTACAGAATTGTTATTCGGAAGAATTTGAGCATATTTGAATGCCTTGTACATTCATATCTTTCACTGTGTATTCCTGCTTCAGGTTTGTGTCCTGTCTATGCTATGAAGGAAAACTGTGGGGTTTTTATTTTATTTTATTAGAACCCCAATCTAGATTCTATTGAGTAAAGCATATTTGTTTCCTCCACCCAATAATAGAAAAAATAAATAATAAAATAAGTGACTGACTTAATATAAGTTGCTGATCCAATCTTCTGGGTCAGAGCCAAGTATTCCTTGATTTATAACCACAGTCCTGGTGGCCATTATAATTCCAGATATGGTGCATGTGTGTGTGTGTGTGTGTGTGTGATTAATAGCAATAGCAATATACTGCTTTATAGTGCTTTCCAGCCCTCTCCAAGCGGTTTACAGAGTCAGCCTATTTCCCCCAACAATCTGGGTCCTCATTTTACCCACCTCGGAAGGATGGAAGGCTGAGTCAACCTTGAGTTTGGTGGGATTCAATCTGTCAGATTGCTGTAGGAGTAGCTTGCAGTACTGCACTCTAACCACTGCGCCACCCGAGGCTCCCTAATTAAGCAGGAAGTGGAGAGAATCCCAAATAAATACACACACACACCTGCCCCGATAACATCAGTCAGACAGAAAGAGTATGAATTTCACCTATTAGGGTCCAGGAAAGGAGCCTTCTCTGCCGTTGCCTCAGCCTTCTGGAATTTTCTCCTTATCAAGAGGTGCCAATCCTCCGCTCTCCGGGTCTTTTTTAAAGGGTATGAAGACCTTGCTATGCCAATCCGTGTGGAATCAAGAGTGGCATGTAAACCTGGAGAGGGTTATTGCTTTGAATGTTCTCCCTTCCCCTTTTTAATTTTTAACTTATTTCATCTTTGCTTTTTGCTTGGCGCCCAATTTACTGATGTATTTTTATGTGGTTTTTATGCTTTTAACTGTAAGCGCAGCTAAACAGCATGGGTGTTCTGTCCTGACTGCACGTTAGTCTGTGTGCAGCTCGACGTGCAGCTAAACCCACCTATCTTCCAATAAAATGAACCATGTGCGTAGATCTGAAACAACAATATATAAAGGTTAGGTGCTATGGCATGACAATGGGGGCAATGCAGGGGCGTTAGGTGGGCCCTGGGAGGCCTGAAGCAGACCGCACACAAGTTGGTGGGGATGCTAGAATACAGTGTGACAGGAAGGAGGAGAGAGAAATAATACAGTGCAGCTCAGGGTTTTCTTGGCATGCCATGCATCTGGTGTGTAAGAAACTGCTCAGTAGCAACACAGCACAAAGCAGCTGTCTCAGGGAGGTAGAAAACTGTAACTCAATAGTACGGTATAGTATACTTAAGCCCAGCCACCCTCGCTGCCCTGTATTTCACCATCCTACTGACCATCACTGATTTCTTCCTCCTGCTGCTGCTGAGGTGTGCCTGCCTTGGACCTTCACAAGACAACTGCTGACCATGCCAGACCTTCTTTCCAAGGTTGCTTGCTCCATTCTCCAAATTGTGTGTTCCACTCTTCAAATAGTGCATCCTGCTCTCCCAATGTTTCAGAAAGCCTTCAGAAAGCTTTTTCTAAGGTCTTCGCCATATCTTTGAGAATGAGCACCCTATTTGGAGAAAGGCAAGCAATGCTTTGGAAGACCTCAGAAAATTTCCAAACACGTTCTGAAGCATTACAAGCACTGGGCACACTATTTGGAGAATGTTACAAGTGACCTTGGGAAGAATGCCATGTGTAGCCATCAACTGCTTTGTAAGAGGTTAGGCAGGGCATGCCTTTTGAATAGGAAGATGGCAAAGGTCAGCTGAGTGTGGCAGGGCCTGGAGGATGGAGGTCAGTGAAAGCCATTAGTGCTTTGTGCTGTGGTCTTGAGGTAGCTAGCTGAGATTTGTGGCTTGAGGGAGCATTTCTCAGTGGCAGCTGCAGCCCTGTGACTGCAATAAAAGCCTAGAGGATAATAGTAGCTGGCTAGCTGAAGGCCCTGGGCCTCTACTTCAGCCCCTACTTTGATGCTTCTGCCACGGGGTGCTGCTCTGCAAGGTGGCCAAAAAGGATAGATGGGCAAGAGATAAGCAGGAGAGGGAAGTTGAAGTACCCCTGTGGTTGGCAATGTGGGCAGGCTGCCAAGAATCCAAACTCTGATCACATGACCATGGGATGCTTGCAATGGCCATAACTTCAGGTAACAGTCATAAGTCGGTTTTTTTTTCAGTAGCGTTGTAACTTCAAATGAGCACCAAATGAATAATCATAAATCAAGGACTACCTCTATGGTGCAGCATTTATTTCCAGTCTCTTTCCCATTCACTTCAGATCATCCCCAGGGCTTTGTGCTTTCCAGCAGTTTAATTGCATGTAATTGCAGTACCGTGTAATGTTTATTTTGTTGGACTGGAACAGGGAGATCGGGTTCAAACCCTCATTCAACTGTGGAATCAACTGGATTGATTTTGGCCAGTTACCCATTCTCAGCCAAAATGTAAAGATCTGCCATAATCAGTGGAATCTAAATATAACTAAATATAATAAATATTATCCTACATAATAAAAGGCTACAGATATTCCTAGGGAGTGTTCACATTTTTCTTTCGTATCACATCATCCCTGAATCTTTGAGCTGTTTCCCCAGCATCTTACAAACCAGCTAGCTATTCTCCGTATGTCCCCCTTCTCCTCTGCCTATGCAGTTGTGTTGGCTGGTGCGTCTTTCCCATTTAGAAAGTTTCAGTACTGAGCCATGGCACTTGGACAAACGATCAACTTCATGAACAGTTGGTTAGACGTTCCATTAGCCATAACCATTCTAAAACACACATGCATACTGAAATAAAATTGTCTTCTTTCTCTCTGCTTGTCTCTGTTTCTCTCACATATAGTTTTTCTTTAGCAAAGTTAGCATGCAAAAATGCACCCCTTATTTCTCATGCTTGAAAGTATTCACATTTACTTTTTTTTCTTCATATACTAAGTGTCAAATACAAGGCCATGTAGATTTCCACTCTCTTGCATTTCTTGAGAAATTTCTGTGTGTTTGGAGCTGCGGGGGGGAAGGGGGGGGATACAGACTGCAGAAAGGAATGCAAAAAATAACGTAACAAAAAGATACATCTGGCAGCCAAGCCTCTCCAAAAATGCAGTTCCTCCTCTTTTTTGATTCTTTAGGGCTCATTGAAAATGTCCTACAGTCTAAAGGACACCATGAGTTCAGGGGTATATTCCTGGAACAGCCAAGTAGATGGCCAGAGCACCAGCTGGGACAGCTGGCTGAATCGTAGCAGGAATACAGATATGCCCACTTATGTGAACGGTAAGACATGGTTATAGGATGATAGCCCCAGATTACTTTTTTAAGAAAATCAAGATTAATTACTACTTGAATTATGGATTTATGAGCTAGAACAACAGGATAGCAGCCTGGAAGATTATTATTCTTCCCCATTACTCACTAGATTTTTCTAGTAACAATCTAACCTATGTTTCTGGAAAATGTTTATTTGATAAAGTTAAATGGTGAAGACTTTGGCTGTTTGAAAGACAACTTAAGTGTGCCATGAGCTTTCAAAGATTATTCTGGTTAAGTGTATGTTACATTATTTTCAAAATGATTGTAAAATCTATATGTTCAGCTGAACTTTAAAAATGGCAACAACAAAAGTTAATGAAATGCTGGATGCTCAAAATATATTTGTGATTTTTGGACTCCTTTAGATCCTGATGCTTTCATTTAGATTCTTACACTGACCAGGGTTTGGGCCAGGTGGTTTGAATCAGGTGCGCCCAACCCATGATCTGCATGCAGCAGATTAAGACAGCTAGTAATGCAGCCCACAAGATGATAAAAAATGAAGGAAGTTTTTTATTTATATACTTTAACTCTATTATATATTTTATGTGTGGCTTAAAAATTCATCTTCACCAAGTACAGCTCAAAGAAGCCAAAAGATTGGAGAACCATAGTCTAAATCCATATTTCTCAATCTTACTTAACTTCACATTTGGACTTCAAGTTTCAGGATTTCTCAGCTATCATGTTGTGATTTGAAAGCCACCAGTGTTGGAATCTCAACCACAAATATTCTCTGGGCTGAGAAGCATCCTATGTTGTGATGGAAGGAATTTAGTCCAGGGATGGATAGAAGGAAGATTGAGAGCTATTGATCTCTTTGCAATAAAATTGGAACAAAAAGGTGTTGTTTTTTTCTCTCTCTTTTATTTTCTCCCAGGGGTGAAAATTGAGATCTGCTTGCTTAGTGGGGAAAGCCTCCACATCAGAGAATTCCATGGAACTAAGGTGGGAGATGTTGCCACTGGAATTAGCAGCCAGGTAGGTGTTGCGCTGAAGAACCAGTCTTTTTTAGCTATGTATTAAAATAGAGCTTTTGGTGAAGGAAATCTAAATTTTGCAAGGCGAGCAACTTTTCCATGGCAGAAGGCGCACAGTAATAATTTTTAACTCTTAGAAATTGTTGAAGTAGATGGGACTAGTTTCCAGTCCAATCTGAGGATTTGGGATGCCATAGCTCTGCCCCAATTGGGGAAATTAAGTCTAGTTTGGGGAGAGGCAGGATGCCTCTGATTTAAAATGCCAATTTATTCATATTTTTTTCTATTTTATCATTTACTACTATATTTAAACATAGTACCTGATTTATTACATCCTTAAATCCATCCTGGGCCAAGATTTGTAATAGTCTAGGGGGTCACAAAACAGGATCTGATTGGTTCACAGGTGATTTGAAGATTTATACAGGCATTAATTAGGATTGCCAGTACATACCTATAGTAGAATGGGTTTAGTTTACCTGTTTTTTTAAATTTTATTTTGTATTCTTAGATACCAGCCCCTGCATTCAGCTTCTTCACAAAAGAAGGTGATCCTGTTCATTGTGATATGGTGATCCCTGATTCAGGCATTGAACTTCAGTGCACTTTGGCTCCTGACTGCAGTTCTGGCTGGAAGTGGAGGATCAAATATGGTCAGTTAGAGAAGCGGCTTTAATGTCTTTTTCCTCCTCACATCTTATATTGAAACAAATGTGACTCTGCAGAAAAATGAGTGCAGGAATTCGTTGGTGACAGCTGATTGCCAAAGGTGATTACAGGTTCCTTATCTGCTTCTTTGTCACATCCAGTGCCTATGGAAGATGTTGTGGGATAAACTTCTACGCAGAGTTGAATGGTTGGGCTGCATTTAACAAAATCAACCTCAGTAGCTTGAAACGTAAGTTGCTGTGGTTTAGGCAGATAAATCCTTCCTTAATCCCACTATCAAGGACTATCCCAATAGTGCTTAGATTTGCATCATCTTTTAACGTGGCTTTTTTCAGTCTGAGCACTGAATACTGCTTTTGAATTCCTTGGAGGAATGTATGACCTCCAGATATAATAGCTAGTGTGTAATGAGTACATAATCAATATATCTCTGCAGAAGCAGTAACTTCATCATTCATACAGAAACTCTTTTACTATATATTATTTCATTTTCTTTCTGTACAATTTACAGCAGGCATGTTCAATTCACAGCCCATGGATCACATGTAGCCCTGGATAGCTGGTACTGTGGCCTCACAAGATTGTAATCTATCTACCTATTTAATGAATTTTGTTGTTTAGATACATTAACTATATTGTATATTTAACATGCGATCCAAGACCATTCTTTTCCATTCAGTGCGGCAGAGGCAAGCAAAAAGGTTGGACACATCTGTTTTAGAGTTAAAATTACATGCTTATCAAGAGAACTTTTAACTACCAGTCTGAGTACAAGTAGTTTTTTAAGATTAAACATATCATACTTTTCAAGAGAGATTTCATCTATGCCAAGGAAAGTTTGAAGCAAAACTCTAAACTTGAGATAGTTTAGGCAAGTCCTTATAGTCTTGTTTTTAGTTGACCAGATTGATTTTATTACCCTTTGGTAGGTTTTGTGTGAAGAACTCTGGTCATGTAAATGAATAACTAGGGGTGTAAGAGGAATAAAATAGATGGTATATGGCCATCCTCTTCTCTTTTGATAGGTACAAAGATATCTCATTCACAAAACCTCATCTGGTATGTTCTGAGCTACATCTGGAGTGTGTTCACCCATAATTGTTTTGGGTTGAACTTAGAAATTATCTAGAAAAGATAAATTAACAAAAGGGGGGGAGGGTTTAAAAATGTGCCTGATTGTCATCCCTCATTCTCAAAGAAAATAACATTTGTATTTGAGGGCCGAAGACCAGCCTGAATTTAGTTGCCTAAATTCTGACTACATTTTCAAAATTTGCTACTTCCTCTCCCAAACATGCATACTTCTTTACAAGACAACCGGCCATTCTGGAGGGCAGCATCTTTTTTAAGCCATCCTTTAAAATTTAATTCCTAGGCAGCTGGAGTGAATGTGTAAATTACAAAAATTTGGCCATATAGCAACTGTAAACTACAATCTCTCTTCTTGTAAAAGTCTTGTTTCACATCAGAATTAAACATCTTCATTTCTGACTTGGCTTCACTATTGGATAATAAAATTTGTCGCTACTTTCACTGGCTTCTAAATCTACTGTAATTCTAAATGTAGATTATTTTCTAGAAGCTTGAATTTGTGCCTTAATAATCAGTTGTTTTTTAATTGACAAGAGGTTTTTGTAGTCTGGTCTATTAGAAGCTGTACTGCTGCATTTGAAATCTTGCTTGGATATCCTGCTAATTTGATCGCAGTTTTGCTCTAGGAGGCAATGCCTTCCCAGCTGGTAAAACAGAAAGCTGAAATAGGCCACTGAGTGTTTATGATTGTATGTAATTTCAGTTGTCTGAAGTTCATATAACTGTTGCTGTCCCTGTGCAAAATTAAATTCTATTCATTTTTTTTTAGAAAAGAAGTACACATTGCCCTTTATAGATTGTTCAGCTGGGCAGCTTATCCATTCTGTTTGTGGAAAGGAAACAGCTCCTAGTTACTAATAAATGTTTTTAGGAACATCACCTGTGGAAATCTTCACTCTTCCAAGCACTTGACTCTTTGCAAGAATAACTGACTTATGATCCAATCAAAAGAAAAAAATGTAGCAATAGGAAGTATCTATGTGCATTAGGGGAATAAACTACCATCACATTTAGAAAAATCTGAAAGTTTATCTTGATGTCTTAGGTATCTGTGGCTGTAATTCAAGGGTCTTTCTTCTCCAGTTCTTAAAACATTAATCTACTTGGCAACATACTGATTCCTGCAAAGGAAGTAGCAGATCCCAAATCAAGAAATAAGGATCTAAATTAATGTACAGAAAAGCACAATATTTTTTTCTTCATTCATATACATTATGCATACTTTCTCATTTGTTTTGTTTTTTGGTGTAAAGAAAGTTATTTTATCAGATTTGCATTGTGATAATGTAATGATAGTGAGCTCATAGATCATATGAGCTCACTATCATTGCATGTGTATGTTCTTTTTTTACTACGATATATAAATCAACTTAGTGTAGCATCAAGTCAAACCACAATGACATATTGAACAAATGATTAAAATAATTTTGTCATAGTGTTTAGGAGCACTATATGAACCAAGCCATTTTTTTAAACTCTAGAGAATTAGGCTAAAATATTAGCTTTCTGTGTGAGCTTTCTGTGTGGAGAATTTATTAATTTTCTTGCTTCCAGCGTTCAAACTGTTAAATAACTAATTTGCTTGCAAAAATGAGCTTAGAAGTTTGTCTATTTTTTCAATGTTATATTGGTTTTGAAAAAGCTAAGAGATAGAACACTAAAAAGCTTCAGCCTTACAGCCTATTATTTACTGTTCCCTCCAGTCCAGCTTCAGAAATGCCACAAAGCTTTTTAAAATGAATAGAATGAAAGAATCATTTGAAAATGCTCTTTAGATTAGAATTGCTTTTGCCAAAACCAGGGTAGTAACCAGAGTGGCCTAAAGATCCTTTCAGACTGTGTTCTTAATACTTCAATTAAGAGTTTTCATTTTGTTGTTTTCAACTAAAAAATTTTTTTAATTGGGGAGGGAGCGGAAAGTAAGACCATACAGATAGATTTTAAAAGAAAATCACTGATTATGTTCATGTGATGCACTGAACCACAAACTTACCAGCAATATTTAATCTAGTGCGTTCTGAAGGTTCTGTATTAGTTTATGGTTCAGTGTGCTGTTTCAGTCCAGAAAAGTAAATGTTATTAATTGTGGATAATCATGTCATATAAGCACAATATATATTGTCTGTAATTCTGTGAAAATTAAGACTGACAATGTTATTTTTAACTGTCAATGAAGTTGTAACCCTAAGAAGGGTAAATGTACCTTTTTCAATCAAGGAAATTAAATCACAGTGCCTTTAACTTATATTTTGGTGGTGTCTATTTGGCTAGATATTTTTCTACTATTTCTCTTCTTTTTTCTTTGGCTTAGGGTGGGTGAATATTTAAAAACCTTATGGTTACTCAGTAATGACCAAATGCAGTTTACAGATTTACAACAGATACATACAACTTCTGTGGTTTTGGTGCAGATGTGACAGTCTCATCACATAACCAAAGCCAGCATACTGTCTCCCACAGTGATTTCTGTGGGAAGACTACAAACTGACTTACACTGATGTCAAGGCTGTCTGCTGTCCTTTACAGTAGGGATTACTTCATTAAAAATATTAATACCCAACATGTTTTATCTTTTTGAAGAAAGGTTTCATTCTTCACATCTTAAATTGTAATTCATACCGCTTAAAATTGATTTATAATTCGGGAATAAAAATCTGAGAATAAAATGTTTGCCAGTTAATGGGGAAAGCTGGGGAATAGACATTATCAGGAGGGCAGCTGCAAGATTTGGCTTTGTGAAATGAGTTTGAGAAGTAAGCCTTTCTTTTGCCAAAGCAATACTAGAAATCTTTACCCTTATCTTACCCGCAACTGAAAATCTCAACTCATAAAATGCTGGCATTTCTTAATTCCCTTGCGTGTTGCATTTTATCCAGTTCGAGGTTCTATTATGTTGTCTGGATCCAAAACAATTATTGAAGCTTAGTAACTTGGTCCTGTCGTAAAGTGCAAGACTGAATTTTGTAAAACCCAAATAGTCACCATTTTGGATCATTGAAAATTGTAAACTTCAATCTGATTCAAATCCTATGATGCAGTAACAGGAAGGGCTTTAAATTATTGTGTGAATGATTGGTCTTAAACAGATTAAAGTTCCAAGTTCATCTATGGACACTTGAATACTTGCTACGGATACTTAAGTGGTATCTTTAAGTCAGCCATTTGTTGTCAGCCCAGCCCAGGGTGGTGGTGGTGATAAAATGGAGATCCCATGAAAGTCACCTTAAATCTTGGACAAACATGGGTTTATAAATCAAATAAAATGTTGGGATGTTCATATACATTCAAAGAATTTTGGATTAATGTGGTAGAAACCCAACCTTAAAATTTAAGTACTGTACAGATTTTAATCACAATAGTAGAGGAGTCTGAGACTAGAGTCTACTAGTTATATAAGCAAAGGTGTAACATCACAGCAAAGATTAATCTCTCAAATATTTGATTTCTGAAAGCAATCAAATAAATTTATCTATTCAACATGTAGTGTTCGGAGGGAAATTATTCTAAATCTATCATGGATTAATAACTATCAGATATGCTTGCAATACAAAAATATTTCTATTTCCTTGGCTGAACTGGGAAGTTGAAAACACATTCCTAAAGGCAAACTACACGAGGCGCCAGTTTTTGCAGTTAGTGGTAAAATAGATACTTGCTATACTGTTCACTTTGATAGGTTTTTTTTTTTCTCATTTGGAGGGTAGGAAGCTTGAGACGACTTCTGTGGTTATGAAGAGCCATTATTTACGAACCAGAAAGAAAGGTGATTACTTGTAGGGCAAGTAAGTTTTAAGTGTACCAAGGTTGTGTCTCTAAGCACTTTTGCTTTTCCTACATCTTGAACGGAGTTCTGAGCTGCCGTGAGTTTATGATCGTAGGATGTATCTGTGGACACCTTGATATTATTGTAAATGTATTGGTTCCTCTTTGACAGACTTTTTGCAAGTGCAATTTTGAATATTTCGTTCTTAAGAATTTGAGCGCAGTTCCCACACACTAAAAACATGATTTTCATTGTTATAATACATGTATTATATTCTCTCATTTTGTTAACTTGCTTTGGATTAAATGCAATTCACACACCATATATAAAAATAATGTATACAAAGTAACAAGTCATGTAAGAGCATTGCGGCTCATCTACAGGATTCAAGGCATTTTAAGAAAACAATTAAGTTCCACATTCAATTGTTTTATTAACCACCCCTCCTCAAACCGTTCCCCTTGCTCCCAGACATGGCATAAAGAATTGTGCTATTCTGAGCATTTGCTGCAATAATTTTAGTTTTTCTTAAATTATGGGGAAAGCAGTAGTAGCCTAAAACTGGGCTTCTAAGCATATCTAATCTACAGCAAGTTTGGGATGGACAGTAGGAACCTGGCCATAGTATTGCTAAAGGCGGTTGAGGATTTTGTTTCATCCAAGTTGAGACTGAACAAATTTGTCCATGCATATCTAATCTCTCCTGAAATAGGCAGTTATTGCTGTGAAGCTTGCATGCCGGAGTTTGAGAGGGAAAGCAAAAGTGCAACTTTGCATAAGTGTCCCTGCAGGCATAAAGTGCTCCAGATGGAGACAGATTATACAAAATGATGGTATTAACCCATGCCTCCTGCATAGCCACCCACCCAAAAAGAGGGTCATGAACAAGTTGTTCTTCCCCTCTACATACTTTAGAAGCTATAATTTGTCCTCCCTCTGCAAATGAAGGGAAATCTAGGGTCCATAAAAATCTGGCTTGATTTGGGAGTAAGATGTATTGTCGCCTGTGCAGTGGAACTACAAAAAAGGAAAAAAAGAAAAAAAACAGCATTTTTCATGGGTTAACCCCATTCTCCAGACATCCAGCAAGTGGGGAAACGTGCATTTGGATTAGGATGTGGTATCCTTCAGATGAACTAACAGTTATAAATCTCAGTATAGAATTAGAACTATGGATTGCAATGATGTATTAAATCTTTATTAAAGATCTCCTGAGTTATCTAATTACTGTCACTTCCACTCTGTATTTTTTGTCTCTTGTAGTAAAGCTCTTAAGAGTATACATCTGAAGATTGGAGGTGGGGAGATAATATATGTAATATGTAATATATACTGCTAGCAACCTGGAAGAAAAAATTATTCAGCCCACAGAAGAATGATACCATGTGGCAAGGAAAAGAACAGCAATTCCCATAACCAGTGTGATTGTCATCAACACTCAGAATGAGTAGTTTTTGAAAGTGCCAAACTTTTGCTAAATCCTGAGATGCTGTTCAACTGACCAGATTAACTCCCTAGACTGATTGTTGTGCTAGAAAAAGATGCTGAATTCATTAAACATTCTAGAAGGGTATATAATCATGGGAAACTATTTGTTAGAGAGGGAGAAGAGCATCGTTGTTTCAATGGGTTTCTAATTACATTGGATGCAACTGTGATCATGCAGTTACAGTTGACATGTAGTTGAATGTGAAGTAGGGGTCGCAATAAGGGGCAGACCGGGACAGTATGGAAATGTATAAACTGGACAAAAAAACCCTATGATTCCTGTTCTTTTCTCATTTCTCCTTTAACAACTCTTAAGAACTTGCCTTAATATTCATAATTCTAAGGAAGGACTGTAGGTGGCCAGAACAGAAAATTGTGTGAAAGAAAAGGCTACAGGCCACTGAAGCCAACTCATTCCATATGAGAAAACTGAAACGTTGAATATGGTTTTGATTCTAAAGTGATGAAAATTAATGTAGCACCTTTGCAAAAAATTAAAAAATGCTGGAACAGGGTGCTATTGTATACTGAGTGTTTGCTCCACTCAGAAACAACTTGGATTTACTAATTAATTAGACTCTTTTGCTATATTATAATGGCTTAATTGATCCTGAGGTTACACTTTCCCAGGAAGTAATCAGCCTACAAGCACATCAGTACTTAGACAAACATAATTTTTGTGATGCTTGAAATAAAACAAGACAATCCTCTCCCACCTTGTCTCTCAGATAGAAGAGGAATTGAAAAACTAAAATTCAATGAATGGCCTAGATAAAGAAACCAGAAAGGGCTGGATAGAAAAGAAAGAAGGGGGAAAGGATCTGGATCAAATTGCTTTCTTCTTTAGAGGCAGCAGCAGCCACAAAGGTTTTTGGAGGTGGAAGATGTTGCTTGTTGATGGAGGTTTCTAGCACCATTGACTGTCTCTGTATTAGAGACTTGAGCCTTCCCATCCTGCCCCACTGCTGCCATGGTAGGTCAGTCAAACGTGGCCAAGATGATTGTTGCTTATTAGATGAAGCAATATTGTTGATCCAGTGGATAATGTAGCCAGCAGGACTTACATGTGCAAAGGTTATAAGTAAGTGTGTATGTGGGGAAGGGGAGGGAACAGTCATCCTGGCCTGAAAAGTCTTTGGTCCAGGCCTCTTGGTCTGAGTTCATGCTTCACCCAGCAAACCAAGAAAACTTATTAACTTGTTCTCATTCAAAGCTATCACAGTGAGATCTCGGAGGTCGCCTGGAGGGTCTGCCCAGTGGTTCGTTTTTTGCCACTCTGCCGACCAGTGTCCCCCCGCCGGTATGGCTGGATACGCAGACCTGCCACAAAAGAAAACAAAACTCAATTATGATTTTTTGAAGGTACATATTCTTTACCCAACCAAAAAATAATAATAATATAGAACATTTTAATACATAGGGAAGAAATTATTTTACCTGCTTCTCAGTATTCAGTATGTTTGAAAATTTGGGGGGATTCCAGTCTTGAGACTTTCATTAAGAGTATCTAAAACTTGGCAGTTGCCAAGAACACTAAATCTTTGCATCAGACAATAAAATTCAACTACATGTTAAAAAATAAGCATGCATCATAAAAGTACCGTACTTGTTCTTTGCTCTTTACTTGGGAAATATATAGCTATGTATTTACATATAAGCAAAATGGATATAATGGGGGAGACAAGATTAAATATCCAGTCATGATGCTCATCTAGCAAGTGTAATTTTCTTGTCGGATGGGAATTTGAGGATAAAAAGAGGGTCTTGTGGTCCACTTTGCCAGACTCAATGGGGATAAGAGCTCCAAATACATTCAGAGAAATTTTCTTGCTGTTGGAAAGAGTTAACCTGCCATGCTAGTTGCTAACTGCCTCGTTCCTTCCCCCAAATAATGTTCTGCTGCTGACCAATGTTACCTAAAGCCACAAGCTACAGTGGGCTTTCTTCATTGAAGCTGGCATCACAGAAGAGGCGAGATGAGCGTTTCCCCGTCCGAGCAGTAAAAGGGATAGTTTTCAAAGCTAAAAAAGGACAGTTCAGGGAAGGAAGGAAACAAAGAAAGGAAAAGAGAAAGGAAAAGCAGTAGGCAAGTGAAAGAATGGGCTGTTCAAAGAAATATACCTTGATAGTACAGCTGCATTACTGTACTTGTTATAAAAGTTATTAAGGGAATGGCTCCTTGCTCTCCCTTAGAGACTCCCCAGAGCCATCCAATCCACAACCCCCCATGTCAGATTCAAGGTCAAGATGCCCTTGACTGAGCTATTGGCGGAGTCTGTGCAGTTTCCTTAGTAATAATATCTAAGCAATTACTTAATTATTTCCACCCTTCCAAGTTTCTCAGTTTAGCAACAACCTCATGTTACCAGGTGCTCCCCATCCAATACTAATAGATTGTTGCTGTGGAGAAAAGTAGGAGGCAGGAGCATTACGATACCATCCTGAGTTCCTGAACAAGGTGGAATATAAACCAAATAAATAACAAACAAACCAGCTAAGGCTGAGCTTAGTTTCTGAAATTAGCACCATGGGTTAGATGCTGAGGCATGACACAATCCCCCAATTCCCTGTTTGTGAGATGGGTGCAATTCGTTGAGAATCCAGGTCAGAGAAAGATACAGGTATATCTCTAAATCAACTGTGGTATCTTGCAGGGGTTAGTAAAAGCAAATGAAGACGACTTCCAAAAGAAGTGATAAGGCTAAAGAAGGGTAAAAGGGAAGCAAGTCAAAAAGTCAAAAGTAAATGAACAGCTAGTGTCAGAAATATCCTTTAAAGTCCCATAAAGCTCCAGATCATGTGACCATGTATAGTCAGCTTCTACCAATCTACAAAATTTGCCAGGGAAGATTTAAACAGACTGGTTTGGATCCAAATTTGGGCCTGAATTAGGGTTATAGAAGCAGAGATACTTATTATTTCCCCTCCACAGCCTTTCTGGGTTTTTGAAAGTGCTACATGGAGTTTCATGGAAGACACAAGGAGCTGAAGGGAAGAGAGGGAGGCTGAGCCAGAAACAAGATACTTTCCATGATCAAAGCTCTGCTCATACATTTCAATTTCCTATGACTTCAGGAGTTTCCCATTTTCACTGTACTACTGCTTATTTTCTTCTACAAAGTTTCAATCTCCTGCATACTGTAGCATTTTTCAGTGCTGGAAGGGAAATATGCCTTCATCAATCCAGTTCTATATCTAAATCTAAACATATTATTTGTACATCCGTACATAATTTCCTGGATTGTATCTTCCATTTCTATTGATGGGGCTTAAATAGTTTAATGTTCTGATAGTGCTTTGAGCATATTACCCTCCCCCTCAAAAAAAGAAACACTGATAAGGCATGGCTTGTTATCAATAATTATCTATTTCATATTCCTTAGGTGGATTGGGCAGAATAAAACTGTAAGAAAAAATAACAGTTCACATCCGCAATAAGGAAAATTAAGTGTGCAGCTTCAATGGACCTTAGAAATGTGCTACATAATGATATCTTCTCAAAGAAAGTGGCAGGGACCCAAAGAAGTAAAAATCACATGCCAGCTTCTTGCTACCCAGAGATGTGCAGGAACGTCCTCAACAGTACTTATGCAATGAAATATTGCTACACCTCATTTGCTTTACCACCTAGAACCAGGTATCTAAAGAGAAACGGTGATTCAGGACAAATTATTTGTAGATCACAAAGGATCACTTTCCCCAGTCAATAAGATTCTGAGCAGTTCTCACTTCATCTTTGGGCCTCTAGGGAGGATCTGCAGATATTTCAGAAATTGTTGATAAAGCTGCCAGTTTCCCTTCTCACCTGAAATAATGTCTTCAATGGCACCATCTTTTTCTTCATAAATGAGAGGCTCTTTCACCATCTGCTTTTTCTTCAGCTCAGCTATGAGGTCCATCTGTTGTCGCTTGGTCTTATGGCTGGGAGATTGCTAAGGAAGAGAAATTGTTGCTATGGTTACCCATGTTTCATGATGAAACTGAAGGTGTCTGTAAAACCAGCTCAGCCAACAATGGTCTATAGGAAATGTCCACTTATAGAGAAGGATATGCTGTAGATTCTGGAACACAATGAAAGGATGAGAAAATCTTAACCCATACCTTAGATACTGCCTGTTCCTCTTTGCTAGGGGAAACTGACTCCTCTTCTTTGGCAGCTGCTTGTTGCTTCTTCCACACTTTGATATCTTCCTCTGCTTTCTTTATATTAGTGGAATGAGAAAAAAAACAATAATCCCATTAAGCAAACATGGATATCTCAACTAGACCATTGTTTTTCAACCTTAGTAACTTTGCTGGTGAGGATTCTGGGCACTGAAGTTCACACATCTTAAAATCGTCCTGGTTGAGAAACACTGATTTATTATACAATGAGATGTTTTCCCTTCAACAAAGATTATGACCCATTTCTCCTTTGCAAGCTCTGCTTTTCTTTCCTTGAAATAACCCCATGTACTATGGAAATGAACTTTTAAGTTCATAGCATACATTGACTTATCCCTAATTCCTGTTTTCAAGAAACTGCAACTTCTTAGAAGCACAAATAAAGTAATACAGTATTATTCTCTATTTTTCCCAACTGGTTTAGTATCCCCTCACATTTGGACATCAATATTATTGCAATTCTTCTCCCTGTTCACTACATAAGAATGCATATGTATTAATTGCATGAAAGCCACAAAAACAAAAATCAAAATTGTAAGGGTGGCATTAATCAATCCCAACAAGCTAAAGCTACAATTAAAAAATACACTAGTAATTTACATATAAGAACAGGTCAGGTGAAAGAAAAAAACAGTTTTAATAGTTTCTTTTGTAATATTAGAAGATGTAAGAATGAGCTGATATTATTGGAAGAAACTATTGTAACACTCTTGCTTATGAACTACAATTACATTCACGTAATTTTCTGTGAACATCATCAATAATCCTTTACCACAAGGTTGTTTTGCATCCCTGCAGTAATAATTGTCATGAAAACAATAGAAATTAGCAGCAAATGCCATCTACAGAATGATATTTCAAAATGAGAGATGAAAATGAGAGAATTTCCATAATAGAAAATAGCATAATAATTGTAGTCAACTAAACAATTTGGAAGAGAACTGGTGGACTCTTGTCAACCACCCCCCCTGAAGAGATCATCTAAGACCTGAACAATTTTCATAATTATTTAATTTCTACACCACGATTATTGTCTCAGGTTTACCTTGATTTAGTGCAGCCCTCTCCAATGTGATACCCTCCAGGTATAATGGAATTGTGCATTTCATAACTCCCAGCCCAGGTGACAAATGAGGTTTTAGGTTAAAGAAAAACTGATTTAGTATATTCCAGTAAGGTTCCTTATATCCATCTTCTGACCAAGCTTTACAAAACTTAAGTAGAGGAAACTACTTCAATAATCTTCATATTGCAAAAGTGACACAAAAAAACAGAAGAGAACAGCCACTTGGAGAATCCATGATTCAGGCAAGAGATGAACTCAAATAGTCTCCTTGGGTCATTAGCCTACAACATTAAACTACAACATACTGTAAACAGGTTTTTTTTTTTTACCTGGTATGCTTTAACAAAGCGCACGAATATAGGGAAGAACATCGTTGGGGGAGTAGTCTTGGGATTCTCTCCAAAGTACTCCACTGTTGACTCATATGCCTCCTATGGAGCAAGCAAAAACAATAACTGACTCACATGGTTTATAAGATCTAACTATCTATCTATTTACCATCTATCATTACCTTTCTATGCTTCCCATCTCACCTACAAGATGATTCTAGGTGGCTTAAAATTATAGAAACAAGTAAAAAAAAAGCTAAAAGTTTAAAACAAACAATAGTAAAGTATTATTGAAAACTGCACTAAAACCATGCCTACAAGAGCCAAGAGATGGACAGGACAGGGATAAGATCTTATCCTGCCAGCCATCTCCAGTGGTAAGCAGCCTCCTCGGGGCTCCAGGGCAGCCGGCGAAGCCAGGTTCCAGAAGGCCAAAAGGAAGAGACAGTTCTCACCTTCAATGAAAGAATGTTTCACAGGGTAGGGCCACAGTGGAAAAGACTGTTCTTCTTGATCCCACCTGCTTCAATTTCTTCTCAGACAGGATCTGTAGCAGGCGTCTTCCACTGGCACAAGTGATGGAGCAGGGAGAGACAGCTCCTCAGATACCCTGGACCCATGCCATGTAGGGTTTTAAAGGTAACAACCAACATCTTGAATTGAGTGTGGAAGCAAACTGGCAGCCAATGCAACTTGCACAGTCATAAGTGGAGCCTTAGGGACTGTGCGCATCTTTGCATTTTGCACTGAGTGCAGCTTTTGAATACTCTTCAAGAGTAGCCCAGTGTAGGATGCACTGCAGTAATCCAACCAAGATATAACTGGGGCATGAGTGGCCATGGACCGTGCGCCGGGTCTCACGATCCAGGTAAGGGCACAACTGGTGCATAACTCAAAGTTGCACAAAGGCCCTCCTAGCCATCCAGAAAATTAATGATGAAAAGCCATCGGATCCTCTTGCACCCACAGCATCATGCCTGGGTTCTGCTGAATCCTGCTGTTCCCTATCCTAATAGCCTCCAGGCACTGAAAAAGGGCAGACACAACATTGCTTGGTTTTTAAATCTATGGGTGAATAGAGTATACAACATCCATTTAAAACATGATTTATGGTATGAGAATTCATAAATGGATTGTGGAAAAAGAAATACAGTTCTGATTTCCCAACATGTGGATGAACTCTCTTCCAAGCCTATAGACATTTGCTGCAATACCTCTTTTAAATAAAGAGATATTGCAACTTTTTGCTTATTTTCTCCTTACCTGTGCAGTTTTACTGTCTGTCTGAAGCTTTTCCATCATTTCTGTGTTCGTCTTTAGGAAATCCTTGAGTATGACATTGTCATCTTGGCGCATGAATTCTTTGCGTGCTAGCTCCATGCCCCGCTGTAGGCTTCTCACATCTTGAAGCACACTGTCCAGTGACACTACAAAGGTGGGAAGGAAAGAAAGAAAGCATGAAGCAAGAACAGCCAGTCTGGATTACTTCCATCTCACTTACTTTCACTTTTAAATTCATTATTTTTATAGGACAGATGCTCTTGTGTCTGTTGCCATCCTATATTTTTCACAGGCCAAGAGAAAAAGCACCACTGTATTTTCCATTAGGAAGGTGACTTTCTTGCCCATAATTTACCACTCCGTACCTGCCCCTGCTTTGTCCAGAAAATGCAGCTCATTGGAAAAGTTCAGGAATTCAGGATATTTTTCTTGGATCACCCGCACTATATAATGAAGTAGTGTCTGTTTCCGGTCTGTTGATTTCATGTCCAGAAGCTACAGAGAAAAATTGCAATTAGTGTGGGAAAAAACTAAGATATCGAGCCATTACTGAACATCTGCCCTTTTTGTTGCTGCAAATTTCTTCCAACCTCTTCTTAATTCCCATAGGTTTAGGTGATGTATTGTATAAACATACCTCTGATATTGTGAAGACATGTCCTTGGAGTGCAGTATTACCATTCCTGATAAGCTGAACAGCATCAGGGAATCCAAGGTAAGGAAATGCTAGGAGCTTGGGAAAGATTACTGGAAAGGACAACCTACTGCTATTATGAAAATCGGTTTGAAATGCTCAAGGACACATATTGGGTCGTGTATTGTGTGTGTGTGTTTTTTCCCCTGTGGCTGATGCATAATTGGAGCTCTGTATCTTGCACGTTACTGTCAGCCTTAGTTCGCTCCTGATTTGTGGCCGTAACCAACTATCAAGTTCACACCCTACTATTTGGCCATGTTTTCCTTCTAGAAGCAGATCCTAACGTTCTGTGCCTTCTCTCCACCTACCGCATCAAGACTCTGCAACCGGAATCCATAAGCTGCTCCCCGTTTGCTGCTGTTCAAATAATTCCCAAATGCCAGGACAATCTATGGAGAGGCAGACAAGCAATCAAAATGAGTCATATTTGACTGAAATCTCTTAGCTAAATCTAAAAGCATTGATAGGCCAAGATAGGGGGTGGAAGACAAAAGGATATCATTTTATTTTATTTCATATAAATGGCCAGCTACCGGGAGGGGGGTGTGTGGATATGGAGACATCAATGCGGACTTTGAAAGACTATATATATATTCATGAAAAAGCACATGAATGGTTATTAATAATAATAATTATAATATTGATTTTATTATGTCTTTGATTCCCAGTTATCCTGGGAAAAAGTGGGTGAAACCTCAAGTTCCACCTTTAGGCTTGGGAAATAAATGTCTACAATGGCTCTGATATCTTTATAGCATAATATTTCCAGACATGCATAATAGAGTAGAATTCTATTATGGCAATAAATTGGTTGTGTCACATAATCCAATAAGTTAATAAATCAAAGGGCCCACATAGCAGATTCTGTCAAACTACAAGAATAAATCTTTCCTTCCTTCCTTCCTTCCTTCCTTCCTTCCTTCCTTCCTTCCTTCCTTCCTTCCTTCCTTCCTTCCTTCCTTCCTTTCCTTCCTTCCTTCCTTTCATTCCTTTCCTTTCCTTTCCTTTCCTTCCTTCCTTCCTTTCTCCCTCACTCCCTCCATCCTTCCCCCATCCATACCCACACCCACACCACAAATTCACAAAGAAGTGAACTAGGTAGACTTTTGTTGCTTAATGTTATTAAACATTCATGCCAGTGTGGCATACTAAATAACTTTGAAACAGTCCAATTTTCAGTTTAATGGGATTGTTGTATATGTGTGGGGGGCGGGGGAGGGGGCAGGATTAGATACAATACATGCCACTGATTTCCTGGAGGAAAATGTGGTATAGACATCTAACAAATATGTAAAAACAATTAAACAAAATTATTCTAATGTTTAAGAATATGTAGACAACAGTGTGCAACTCAGTTGTCAAAATTCTGGGAGCCAACTTAACTACTACCCAAGACCAAAGAAGAAATGTCCTTCAACTTAAATGATTGTGGAGACCTTATCTTTAAGGAACCTCACCTCTAAAATCTGACGCAGTTTGGTAGATGACTTGACTGACATTGAAGCAACAATCACAAAATTTAGTTGCTGCAAATGAAATGTGAGAATGACATAATCAGATTTCCTACTTGGTTTGACAACTTTTGACTCTAATTTCCTACCTACCTTAGCTGATATTACTTATTGGAACTAAGTGTAAATGTGGACATTTAAGCTCAGTTATCAGACTTCCAAAATTTATATTTTCCTGTTTTGTGACTTTATTCCACAAATATTTCTTAACACTTTTGATTTTTTTTTAAAAAAATCATGAAATTAGGAAGGAATATTTTGAATACAATCAGAACAGGAAAAAAAAAAACAATTTTTAAACACCATTTTAGCTAGCACTGCCAGATGCTGATAAAATACTTAATAATCCTAGCTTATCATGCACAGCGTAAACCTGGATCTTTTTAGATAATTGCAACCTTTTTGCTGAGGTAATTTAACATGGCTTGGGAATTCAGTGACAAATCCTGAAAAAGCCACAGTAGAATTGCTTCCACAATCAGCACAAGTTGGTAAAAGATTAAAATAAAATGAAAAAAGGATTTGCTGCCTGCTGCTATTTGATGTCTTATGTGCCAGATTTGTTGTTCTCTCTCTCTCCCCCAACAATATTGGATACTTGAAAATGCTTCGCTACATTTAGCCCAGATCTACTTCCTATGCAAAGTTGCAATTTACATTCTGCTGCTTTTATTAAGCCATTCAGCAAATCATGCCTTTTTTTCTGCCACCTGGAATAAATAAGAAGACGGAAAAAGAAGAAAAATACTATTTTAGAAGAATCATTAGTCAAGATACTTTTATAACCGCTTTCAGACTCTTCCAACTAATATTAAACCAATATATTATTGATTGACACTACTTCTTGGTTATTATCAGTTGCCTGCTTTGTTCCTTACTGGCAGAAGGAGTTGTACAGTATCTGCAAAACTGCCTAAGAATGTCATGATGTTCATGCGTTCTGCTAGGCGGGGAATTTTGCTCAATTTGATCATGAATTGGTCCTCATCTGAAAGCTCATCCAGTGGACGTTGCTCTTTTTCATATTTGCGGATTAGTGTCATCTCATATTCCGTTGGGATGAAGCGCATCAATAACTCCAGAAAATCCAGATTGAGAGTCTGTAAATCATATCTAAACAAGAATAAAGTAGGCCAGAAGTAACTGGTTAAGTAGGAGATGCCTAAAGGGTTTTTCTAAATGACAGTCATTACAGTAAATAGCTTCCCATCACAAAATTAACCATTTTGCATATCTGATGTGGACATCATGAGCATACACATATGTGTTCAATTCTATCTTCCCTTTTGAATGGCAGGTGAAATAGATGAGAAAATTTGGACATACTTACGTCTGAATGGCTTTACAAATGCTGTCGACATCAAGCCCACCTTTACGGAGGGTGATGGCCAGGTTCTTGGCCCGGTTGCATTCAATCAGTGAAACCTTAGCGGGAGCTTTCTGCAAAGTCTTTGCCTTTGTGGAACTGAATTCTTTGTTTGGACCCTGAGCTTTGGTTTTGAATTGTTCTTCAAAGTCACTCATGTCAAGTTCCTGCACCAAGTAGAAGCCAAAATAAACAAAGTGATATGTATTGGGTGGGCACGGAAGAGGAAAGGAAAAGGAAAAAGGTAAAGGGGCACCCACCTGAAGGACTTTTTCATCATTGAGTTCATTGAAGATGGTCCCGTTGATCTGGTTAGGCTTCAAAGCAACCCAATTGAAGACAGGCATACGGAATTTGGTCTGTATAGGCTTCTTGATCTTGACAGCTTCCAATGAATAAAAAAGTTTGTAAGCACTTTATAAATCTCTGCCATCTCAGAGATTTGTCACTTTCCAATTTTATTTTTCAGCAAGGGTGTTCTTACAGATTGGGCATAAAATGAAAGAGAAACTCCCATCTGTGATAAACTGGATGTGGTTAAATCTTTCTAAACCAGTAGGAATGTTGAGCAATCATTGATAAAATATTGGATTGAGAACACCTAGGTTCAAATTTATACACTTTATGTAATTTCATGAATGTCTAAAGGCAGAAGCTGGCTGATTCCCAAAACATATTAAGCCATAAGGTTGCTTATTTATTTGGAAATACATTTCACAATAGGGGCCTTTGGCATAACACAAAAAAATTAAAACCCACCACTTAAGACAATAAACCATGGCATCCTGGATAAATGACATTTTCTAATCATAAAACTGCATTAGCAACAGGGCTAACCTAACCTCCAGACTTGAACACCTGGGAGAAAAGCCCTACAAAAGGCCTGGATCTCCAAAAACTCACTGTTCCACAAATCTGATTTTATCTTACCAATATGTAATTAAAATATATGAAGTATAGTTTATGATTTAGCAGTAATGTGTGATCTCTGCCATATGTGGGCCACACAATAATTCAAGGTGTTTTATATATACACCACAAAACCTTAGGATGTTGCAACACAGCCAACAACCCAGGAGATTACAGCACAAGACCCAGGATGTCAAAACAATAGAACTCAGAAGGTCATCACACAGCCCATTACCCAGGTCGTTACAACACAGGAGGCTGATAGACACACAGCCAATACCTCAGCCACACATGTTCTTACAAAAAAGCCAGCCAATCTGCAAATATCAACTCCATCAACCAATCAAGAAATGACAACACAGCCAACCTCCCCACCAGTATATATATGGAGACAGCAGCTCCGATCACGCTTTGCTCGCACAAGCATGAAGCTGAAAGCACCAGCCTAAAGATGGTGAGTGAGACCTCATCGAAACATTGCCAAGATACTCTCAATCTTACACGGGAAAAGATCCGAATACGCCAAGACCTGCATACCTGTACCCGTGAAAATCTATGAATATCTATATATCTATATCTATATATCTACATCTACATCTACATCCATATCTATCTATCTATCTATCTATCTATCTATCTATCTATCTATCTATCTATCTATCTATCTATCTATGGTATTCAGCTTTGTTCGGGTATTTTCCCACATCATTATAGTTGTGCTTTTAAAGTTGTAGCAATGTTTCAGCAGAATTTCATCTGCCATCATCAGGCTTCTGTATTGTGTTCGTCTGTGAGTCAGACTTTCATAGCTGTTTCAGTTTTAAATTTGGGGCTACCCTACTGCTGTGCCAGAATGTTTTTTTCTTCATCCTGATTGGTAGGGAGTCTTGGCCTGTGTTTATTGGTCTTGGAGTTTGCTGTGTTCTGCTTGGTGTTTCTAATATCTTCTGTCTGTTTTGTGGCTTTTTTTTTTGTGTCTTGATTGGCTGGCAACATTGTGTTCCTGCATTGGAGGCTTTTAGTGCAGCTTGGCTCCAAGTAAATGGACAGCTATCATTTATTAGGAAGCTAGGTTTCATCTGAGTGCCTGGTTGGGGTGTGTTTGAGCTGGAGGTATCAGGGGGAGTCTGTTTGTGCCCAGGTGTTTGCCTGGCTTGTGGTGTGGAGATTTTTTTGTTTGTGAGTGCAGGCTTCCAAATAATTGACAGTCAGGTGGAATCATCTCTTCTATTCATGCTTTCAGGTCTTTTTTCAATCTCTATGGCTTCTCTGATAATTCTGTGGCTGGGGTTTTCTATAGTGGCTAGGGTTTTGGTACCATTGAAGTCAATGCTATGACCTGTTGCTTTCATGTGTTGGACTAGTGAGGAAGTGTGTTCCAGCTTTTTTACTGCATTTTTGTGTTCATCCAGGTGGGTACTTATTCTTCTATTGGTCTGTCCAATGTATGTGGCAGGGCATGATGCATAGGGGACTTCATATACGCCTTGGTTTTCCAGGTCAATTTTATCTTTGGGGTTTCTTAGGATGGCTGCTATTTTTCTGTCTGTTTTGAAGGCAGTCTTGATGTGATGCCTGTATAGTATCTTACTGATTTTGTCTGTAGTACCTCTTATGTAGGGCAGGACAGCTGTTCCATAGGTCTGTTCATTTTCTAGGTCTTCCTCATGTTTCAGTGTGTTTTTGTGGATCAAGCCGGTGATTTTGCTTTTGTGGAAGCCGTTAGCTGTCAGTACTTTAGTCAGGGTGCATAGTTCAGTCTTTATGTGTGTCTTGTCTGCCAGGCATTTGGTTCTGGCGATTAGTGTTGTGGCCATGGAGTTTATCTGTGCTGGGTGGTGGTGGGATTGGGTGTTGAGGTAGCGGTTGGTGTTGAGATGGTGGGAGTGGGGGTTGAGGTAGCGGTTTGTCGAACACAATACAGAAGCCTGATGATGGCAGATGAGATTCTGCTGAAACGTTGCTACAACTTTAAAAGCACAACTATAATGACGTGGGAAAATACCTGAACAAAGTTGAATACCATACATACATACATACATACATACATACATACATACATACATCTGTTTAGCACAACATTTGAACCCAATCATTGTCTTTCAGCATAATTCTTTTTTTTTAATGAATGCCATTATAAGGAAAAGCAAGAAATAAATGCAATAACTAAATAGAGGTAAGCCAATTCTCATCCTAGAATATAAATTCTACTCACTTCCTAATTCTAGCTTTGAATATTCTTCAGGCTAAAAGCTAGAATTTGGAGATGAAAGATCTCAACTTTAATTTCTTTAAAAGGTTGCTGCCTCTGTTATTGAGGAAAAGCTTGGTAATATTGTATGATCATAAAATATGGTCATAAGATATTTTAAGAAAGAGAAATTGAAAAAAGAAGATGTTAGGAATGTTAAGCTGAAAATCTGTTAGGTTCAGTGAGTTTTACTGAGCTCATTGGGGTTCTGAGTAGACATGTCCAGTTTAGAATTGTCCTATTAATTAATTAAATGCATGAACCTATAAATGACGCTTTAGATTAACTTTAAAAATCCATTTCTTCATAATTACATATTATGATTTAAATGGAAATGTTTATAAAAGTGCAGAATGAAAATACCAGCTCGGAAGAAGTAACTCAGCTCCAAAATACATGGATATATTATTTATATATAGTTATTTTAAATATTTAAATTTTATTTTTCTGCTATATACAATAAGATACCCAAGGAACCATATACGTCAGTATTTTTAAATTCAAAGAATGTTTTTCTTGTATTAGGAACAGAACAATGTATGAGATTTCTAGTTTTATTTCCATGCAGATTCATTGATTTATTGACTGATGAAAAATTTATACATGATTAAATTCACAATTCTTTTGTGAGCTTCTGATCTCAAGAGAGAAGTAAATAAATATATATTGTACTATGCCAATGGAATGGCTGTTTAAGAAAGATCTACTATAATGTATACAAGTTACCTGTAGTTATTGTACTTGCTGGCAAAGTTGCTCCATCAATCATGGGAGAAAGTGGTGGAGGAGGAGGAGGAGGAGCACCAACTGGGCCACCAAATGTTAAGAGGGATGGTAGTGGAGGAGGTGGTGGAGGAGGTGTTGATAGAGCTTGAGGTGTAGTTACAACCCCAGGCAGTGATGGGGCAGGTGGAGGCTCAATGATCCCTGGTAAGGGTGGTGGTGGCGGTGGCAGAAGGGGAGTTGGAATAGGTGATAGCTCCTCCTCTTGAGAAGAATGGAAAGCCACAGAATCACTGCCTTTCATGGAAGGTAGAGGTGGTGGAGGTGGTATTTCTGGAGCAAGAGTAGGGACAGGAGATGTAGATAGGGAGGGATAATCTGAAAGAAAACAGAACAGATGTGAGAAATGCCTTCCTGTCCATTGGAAAATAATCCTGCCTAAATCTGTTGGGAAAGAGAAAATATATGAGACAACCGTATTAAAATATTTCTTCCTGTGTGATAAATGATGATTTCTTAGCTACTGCATATCACAGAGTGGTCTCCAGGAAATGGGCCATTTGGGAGACCATATAGGACAAATGTCGATGGGTTGGAGCAATTCAAATTGGAGTGTTTCCTACCTGAATGGTAGGAAGACAAAATGATGCATTAAGACAAAATGATGCAAAACAAACAAACAAACAAATCTTCTATTATATACATAACTGAGGAGGAAAAAGTTCTAAACCATTCTTGTCCTTAACCTGCTAGTTGCGTATATGGATGTATTCATAAATGGTTTCTCAAAGTTGTGAATGATGAACTATCAGGGGCACTTTGGAAATTTGGGGGTTACACTTTTTAATGTATTAAATAGATGGGAAATTTAACACAATTAAAATGGCAAAAAAATCTATTTGCTGCACAGCACAACTCACACCTGTCTATTTATTTACTTATTATGGTTGCCCACTAGAGTGGTGGCTATAAAAAAAGAACTTGTAAAAAATGCCCAACTATCCAATTGATTGATAAACACTACTGATAAACGTAATGTTTGGCTTCTGTCAGAAATACTTGTTTCCCTCTGGAATTTCTGCCAGCAGAATAGAAATTCAAATTCTTTGGAGTCACTAAAGAAATATATGTATGAATAAAGTTCAGTATTTTTATCCTCTTTGTATACAAAGTTTAAGGTTCTTTAACTCATTTGCTTCATATGTAGATTAACATTTAATTTGTAGAACTAAGCACTATATTTCTTGTCCTAGGTAATATTTTGTGTAATGAGAGGTCAGACCAAAAATTACTATATTGGGTGTACCAAAGAATTGCAATCATAAACAATACCCAACAGCAGAAAATACATTCTAAAATATGTTAATTCTTTGTTTATATTGCAAAATGCTCCAAGTAAGGCTTCACCTTGCTTGTCCCATTAGGGTGTACCTGTGCTAGTTGATGAAGATGCTTCAATAGTAACAACAGGAATGACCTCAATGCCAATGATGATGTCACTGTCAGGGCCCCGCTGAATCCTGATAAAACCTCTGTCTTCTAGTTCTTCCAGGTTTTGCTCCAAGGCAAAGTATTGCGGAGGTATTTTTGATTCTTGTGGAAGCTGCATTGGGGACCAAGAAGGACTTCCTGGTTTGTTAACTTTGCTGACTTGATCCAGCTTCTGTGAGAAAAAGTTTAGAGAGTTTTGAATAAAAAACCTAACAAATTTATTCTATTATTCTGAATTTGAGTGGGGTTTATTTTCTAAGATCTTGAATATACTGCTATGGTATGAACTTGATATTTATTTTCCTATTTTTTAAGAAAAATATTCTGGGCTTATTAGAATTTTTTAAAAATGCATTTTATACAGCTCACTAGCTCATATCAGTTAAACATATCAGAGGGAAAAATATAGAAGGATATAGATACGCCTAAGAGATTAACGTAGCCCATATCAATGTGACAGGTTCTGAATTTCAAATATCCCTATTTTCATGATTGATCATGACACAGGGAAGATTAATATGTTGGGCAAACAATATAACCCATTCAATCAATCCACTCAAGTAATCTTGAGAGATTTAATTTTTGCTCCAAAAGAAATTTGGGACTAAATTAACTTTCTTTTGTTCAAATGGGCTTAATGTCTTCCACAAAAATGAAGCCTTTCTATTCACTTTTCCTCTACTGGTTTTCCTATGCCCTTTTGCTTCCTGGGGGATGAAATACAGCAAAAGAAAGAAAGAAAGAAAGAAAGAAAGAAAGAAAGAAAGAAAGAAA